AACAAGTTTGGGTGCAGCGGAGGTTGGGTGCAGGGCTCCAGCCCTAACGGAGCCTTAAAAGGAAAGCAGAGCAGGGATGCCACGTCCTGTACCCCCCTGCCGCAGACAGTTGGCCCGAAGTGGGGGGGGCATGATGGGTGGATGGTAGAATCCGGGGGCCGACAATGCCAGCAACACCAGACTGGACACGCTCCCTGTGCAGAGCACTTGTGAGTGTCACCGTGGCGCGTAAGTCAAGTCAGCATCCAGGCCGACCTGCGTTCTTCGGTTACAAGTTTTATCTCTGCCCTAGCCCTCCCCACAGGCCCGCCTTCGGGCCTCTGGAGACGGGAGGTGTCGTCGGGGAGAGGAGAGAACCAGGGTGCGGTGGCAGTCGGATAAGGCAGTGCACATATTCAAGGCCAGCCTATTCGGACAGGGAATTTCCCCCCGAGAGGTCAACGTCGAGGGCCCCACGAGCAGCCTGTTGCATGCTGGCACCTGCTGTGTGCCCGTCTGCCCGGCTGCCCGTGTCTGTCCTCAGCCCAGCTGGGCGGTGGGTGGTTGGGGTGGAGGACGAGCTGTCCTCAGGGGAGGGTGGCAGGGCCCTCGGGCAGGGCAAGGCCAGGAGCTGGGTATAAATAGCCCCCGCCCAGCTGGGAAGGCCCGGCAGTGCCCTCCGCCCTCCCCCTCACCAGCTGCCAATGCCAGGCGGGTCCCTACCTCCCTTGGGAGCCTGGCTGTTGCCCGAAGGTCCTAACCATAGGAACTTCCTCAGCGGAACCGAGGAGTCTTGTCCTGTGTGGAGGCGAGACCTCCGGATGCCTGGATTCCTGGGGAGTAAGGCCAAAACACTACAAGAAAAGGACATCAGACTGGCCTTTGGGGGAAGGAGTGGCTCCTTCAATCCTTCCCTTGAGAATTAGCAACTACCCATCGTGTGGCCTGGACTTTCAGTAGACCAAATGTGCTCGTGTGTGTGTGTGTGTGTGTGTGTGTGTGTGTGTGTCACAGGCCGAGGTGTTGGAGAGATGGGAGAAGACACAACCTCTCTCCCTGGGGAACTCTTACTCCCAAGGCAGATCAAACTGGAAACAAATGAGTCCAGGGCTCCGTGATAAGATAGGAATAAAGTACAGCAAAGACACAGAGGCGGGAGAGGTTACCTTCACCTGGGAGCCCCCAAAAGTCTTTAGAAAGGAGGTGACCCAAGACGCATGTGTTGAAGGATGGGTAAGGTGCTCGCCAGCAGCTTGGCAGGGGACGGGCACTCCGGGCGGAGGGCTCAGCCCCAGCAGAGGCGCGGATGTGGGAGGCTGCCCGGCAAAGCACCCGGAGCTGCTTGCACTCGGGTAGGAAGAACTAGGGAGAATGAGGCTTGCTCTGTGGCCCCCCACCCCGACCCTCTCCAGGGGAATGTGTACCTCCTAATGGGGGACGAGGAGCTGTGAGTTGAACTGACGCATCCGTGGCGGCAGAGGTTCAGACCTGAGCCCTGTGCGGGTAGGAGGCTCGGGGAGTGGGGGGGACGGCAGCCATCCTGCAGAAGTCAGTCCCAAGGCCGAGGCCTCGTCAGCCCCATTGCTGGCCCGTCGACCCCATCCCCAGAGGGCCTTGCTCACTGCCAGCGGATATCCAGATCTGAGCTGGAACCCTGGCAAGGAGCCCCCTGGAAATGTCTCTGTGCCCTTGCCCTTTGGGTGCCTTTAACACTCAGCCAGATCCCAGGTGTCTGTCCAGCCACCCCGGTTAGCACTGAGCTGCTCTGAGCCCAGGCATCCTTCCCAGCGATGGATGGGAAGGGGTTCTGAAAATTCTGATGTGTTCTATCAAGTCAGAGATGGAGGGCAGGAGGCTGAGGGTGCTGACAGGGTAGGGACAGAGTGCTTGGGACACCCCCCGCCACGGTAACCGCACGACCATCATTTATTCCTCTTACGTCTATGTTACAGGTGAAGAAACTGAGGCACGGCAAGGTTAAGGAAATTGACACCCGTAGTTAGGAAACAGCACTGGGGTGAATAGCTGGTTGGCCCCCGGGCAGCAGGGAGGGGCCAGGGTTTGGCGGGAAAGGGGAAAGGTCTCGTCTCTGAGGCAGGGAGTTGTTTTCAGAGGGTGTCACGCTTGGAGCCAGACAAACCCAGGGTTGAATTCCGGCTTGGCCCAACTTTCATCGCTGGGCAAAAAGAGGCTGGAGCCTTGGGGGCCTTGGGGCCTTGGCTGGTGAGCAGAACAATAAGTGGGGGAGGTGCCGTGGGACGACAGGGTCCCCGGTGCCAGAAGTGACTGTGGGACAGACTGGCCGCAAGAAGAGTGTGTGCCGTGGGGGCAGGAGGCCGAGCTGACGGCAAGCGCGGCCACCGCAGGGGCGGTCCACACCTCCAGACACAGGCGTGGACGGGGGCCCGTGGTGGGGACCCTGGGGAGACTGGCCCTGGCCAAAGGGGAAGGACGCTGAGGCTGGGAAGTGGGCCCAGGTCTTCCCGTGCCGCACTGGGACAGGCGTGGGGAGGGGGCAAGGACTTAGCACCATACCCCTGGAGAGGGGTTTTCATGGCACCACACTCAGGACCAAACCCAGGTGGGGTGGCAGCTTCCCCACCGGGGCTCAGCTCTTGTCTCCGACTGTCCTCCTCATATGAGGCTTCGGGTCCTAAATGTCCAAGGAGGGAGTGGGAAAGGCCTGGGCTTCTTCCCAGGAGAGCCTCGCTCCCGTGCCATCCTCTCAGGATGGCGCCATGCTGACTACCTACCCCCAACCCCGGGCTCGGGTTCCCACTCCAGTGAGGCAGTGCTGTCCGGCCAGCTGGCGGGGCTGGGCTGGAGGTCCTGGCTAAAAGCGGGTGGGGAGGCAGCCCGAACTGGGAGGGAGGCTCAACACTGACACTTGGCCGTCCTGCAGACTTGGACAGGTTACTTGGCTTCTGGGCCTCAGTTTTCCTCATCTAGGAAATGGGACAATAACGATGATAATGAAGTTCCTATCTCACAGACTTGCTATGAGGATTACGTAAGGTAAGAGACACGAGTGCTTAGAACTGGCCCAGCATATAATCAGTGACAGATATTTGAATATCACGGTTATCATGATAACCTGTTTATAACTGGAAGCGGGGCAGGGGCAGAACAGGGCTCCAATGGGTGCCGGGTGCCATGTGCCCATCCGGGGGCTCTGGGCTGACCCGCTCTATCTCACTCGGGTGTGGGATCGGTGGTGTGGCTCAGGCCACAGATGGGCCAGTCCTGCCTCCTTCAGGACCCAAGCAGGCATAGCCAAGAAGACAGGTGGCACAGTGGTTTGCCCCACAGGCTCTGGAGCCAGATGTCTTGGGGTCCGATGAGCAACTTCTTAGCAGCTCTGCCGGCTGGGCTGGTTACTCAGTACACAAGTCTACACCATCTGGAAACAGGGCTGCTGTAATGCCCCCTTCTGTGTCACATAGCTGCTCTGAGGATTCAGTGAAGCAAACCCAAGGGGAAGACTCAGCTCAGGGAGCATGCCCTGCTCTGTCACAGACCTGGCACCAAAAAGCCTTGAGCAAGCTGACTTCCTTCCTAAACCTCTGCTTCTTCGTCGCCACCCTGGAGAACTGATCAGAAATGAAGCACGTAGTAAGAGCTGATGAATGGCAGACATTTGGTTCAGCCCTGTGTCTAGTCCAGGAAGATTTTGCATGGTTTTTTTCCCCTCTGATCTGAATCTGGGGTCTTCTGGACCCTCTTCCCAAGGTTTCTGTCATCACTTTGTGTGGGAGACTTGACCAAGGTCACTGCCAGACTGGAGCCTTGCTGGGGTCGGTGCTGGATGTAAAGGGCCCCCATGCAACCCTTCTTCCAGCTCACACTGTCCTGACCACAGGGCTGATTGCGACTGGCCTTGAGGTCCATTGAGACCCACAGATCATTTTCTCAGTCTTTCCCACAAAATGTCATCCCTGCTCTTCCTGTGCTGGGGGAGAGAGTGGAAGAGCAGCACCTTGATTTTTCTAGTTTTTTTAAACTCTTGTTCCTCCTTCCCCGGCTTCCCCCAAGACCTTTCCTTCTGTTGACTCTTAATAAAATCTGAGGGTCTGACCGGATATGACTTGAGAAATGAAGGTTAAAAGGTGAGGTGACTTGAGTGAGGTCGTGAGTGTTGGCTGGGAGAGTATGCTCTGACATCTTCTCCCTCCTGACACTGAGCTAAACTTGTCGTGCAACAAAGCCAAGTTCCAATCGCTGGTGAGAGGGAAGATGGCACTCTAGAAACTTCTAGGAAGCTGCCAAGATGGTCCTGGAGGCCCTGGTGGACAAAGGACAGAGGACCTAGTAGAAGCCATCACTTCCCTGGGGAGACACTGGGATGCTTTGGGCTGGGCAGGCAGTATCCTGGGGAGGGGCACTGCCATGGGCAGTGTGTGTGTGTGTGTGTGTGTGTGTGTGTATGTGTGTGCAAACCTCAGATACACATGCATATACAAGTTCCCCACTGGGACTGGGGTTTCTCTGCTTTAGCTGAGTTGGGACTGGGGTCAGGCCAGCTCCTGCCAGCTTCCTTGACTTGGGTTTGGGTTATTTCCCATGGGTCATTGGAGTCTCTATGTGGCTCTAGAAACTTAGACTCCCTAGAAGCTTGTCCAGCCCAACTGCTTCAATGCCCGTCAGGGCAACTGGCCCAGAGCCTAGGAGGGACTTAACCTGGGCTCTCAATAGGATCTTTCCAGTCCAGGGTTCTTTTCATGGTATTGCATTGCCCCCAAGGGCCCCCACGAGAGGTTCCTACTGGTCACTGTGCTCACGTCAGATATGCCCACATCAGAGGGCTGACTTGGCCTGGGTCAGAGCTCTGCCCTTCAAGGGATGGTGTATTCTTGAGGTCAAGACAGCGCATTCAGGTACCACGTTTCTCAAGGCCATGGGTTCGGGCTGACGGGCCCTCCATCGCTCCACCTGCCCCCAGAGGGCTCATGAGGAAGACGCAATGCCCATGACGTTCCGTGTGCCCTGTGCCGGCAATGCCACTGCCCTCTGTCTGCCTGCAGGTCCCTGGCCCTGGGCCAGCAGTACACCTCGCTGGGCTCGCAGCCCCTGCTCTGCGGCTCCATCCCAGGCCTGGTCCCCAAGCAGCTGCGCTTCTGCCGCAATTACATCGAGATCATGCCCAGTGTGGCCGAGGGCGTGAAGCTGGGCATCCAGGAGTGCCAGCACCAGTTCCGGGGCCGCCGCTGGAACTGCACCACCATAGACGACAGCCTGGCCATCTTCGGGCCCGTCCTAGACAAAGGTACTGTCTCTGGGCTGAGTAGGAGGTGGGTGAGGGGCTAGATTGGGGGAGGGCATGAGGACACGTGAGCCTTCCACCTCAGCAGGCCTCAGTTCCCAGCCCAGGGTCCCCAGGAGAGGGCCATAAAGCCGGTCACGGCCCACAGCCTCCACAGGAGTGGGCGGGCTCCCTCTCTGGATGGATCCAGTTGGGTCACCTTGGCTGCCACACCTTCCCAGGTGCCACTGGAGGTTGAGCAGCCTGGAGATGCTCTGTCTCCTGAGATCCTAGGACAGGAGAGGTGGCCATGGCCTTCCTCCCCGCTCCCGGCTGCACAGTGGAGGGGGCAGGCCTTGATGTGGACAGTTGCGACATTTTGCCAACACTGTGTTAAGTGCTATGCAAATCTAGCTTTTGGGTGGGATGAGGGCATCACCACTTCTAGGTCCCTCCCTTCTAGAAAATTCTGGAGTTGAGGAAACTGCCTGGAGCTGGTGGCATTGCATTGCCCCCAAGGTTTCAGGGAGAAGATCCCGCTGGTCGCCATGTGCCCTGCAAGCTGGACGTGCCCAAGGACTGTGGAGGGGCTACTGGGTGTGCTGGTGTCCCGGTAACTTTCCAGCCCTCCTGCCACCCAGGAGTTTAACCCGCTGTACCTGAAATGAATGGGGTTCACCCAACTTGACTTCAAACATGACCAAAAGAGAGCGAGCGGTAGGGGGGCAACTGCTCCCAAGAAGGGGACTTTGGGGCTGTGAGCTCTGGGCTGAAGATGGGCAACTCTGAGGAACTGCAGTGTCCAGGAATGTAGTGACCCCAGCTGGCCTCCAAGGAGCCACCGCTCCCCCCCCCCCCCCCCCCCCCCCCCGGGCCCTGCAGCAACTTGAACCCTCTGGACCACCACCAGGGCTTTGCCACCCAAATTGGTGAGCCTGGCCCTCCCTCCTTCTACAAAACTGTATTCATAGCCAGAAGGAAAAGGGATCTGAGAGCCAGGTGGATCTGACAGGGAGTGGGTGGCAAGTGGGGGGACGGACCCCTACATTGAGTGTGTCGTGCCCCCTTTACCTGTGTCTCAAGTGTGCTGAGTCGGTCTGACCTACAGGCCATCGTCAAGGGACAGAAGGGCAATTAGCGAATCAATGGATGATGGTTCTGTTTACGCTTCTATTACCAAAGCTAATTATTCCTTGTTTACATAAAAGGTTTGGCCTCTAATTGGGGCCAAGTGGCGGCGGTTTGCATTTCAAACCTGATCTTGCCGGTGTGTCGGTCTCACCGCCTTCCGGTGCCCCACCTCGGGCCAGGGAGCGCTTAATCAAACAGCCTGGCGTCTAGACGCGCTCCCCAAAAGCAAGACTCGCCTTCTGATTGCTTTGACCCTCTTGGGACATTTGGCAATGAAAATCGGGCCCTTTGAGCTTATTCCCCATTCACGTCCGTGTTTAACGTTTTAAATCGCCGTTGTGGGTTCTGGTACCTGCCCCTTCATCATCCTAAATTGCAAGAGGGCGGTTTTGTGTTGGGC